CGAACGTCTCACAGATAGCAACTCGAACACCGTCAAGCTGCAGTCCACTTGCGCCCTCAAACAAACTGTCGGCGCGATTGGCGATGACGATGCTCTTGCCAGCTTTCTGCCCAGGATAGTCTCGTCTTTGGCTAAAGTATTGACTCCCCATAGCAGTGTTCGACCCGGCTTTCGCGTTGTTGAGCAAGGCTTGGAAGTTCTTGCATCACTTCTTGTCCGTTTACTTGGCGATGCCCAGACCAAAGATTTGCCCGAGACACTACTGTCGGATGAGTCTGGCGGATGCACCACAATATCTCGATCACTCGCTTGGCTACAAGCAACTGCAACCCAGATGAAGATTGCGCTTGCCAATATCTTCAGATTGAGGGATCATGATAAGCAAGAGGTACGGCAAGCGCTCTTGAATCTGTGTCTTTGCATCGTAAGGGATTGTCGTACATCACTGTCTCTTTGCACAAGCATGGCGATCGAAACCATGGTCGATCTGGCAGGCCATGAGACCCCGGCCGACACCACTGAGGACAAACTCAAAAGACTGTTATCAGCAGACCAGAATCTCTCCGAACTTTTGCGCGAAAGTTTGCATGGTTGGATCGTCGCCTTGCCTAGATTGATGCGATCAAAAGACGACCGTACCCGCCATAAAATCGTACATCAGATATCAGTCTCGCTTCGCCTGTTCGATGAAGATCCAATGATTCTAGATGAGCGTCTGGCCGATAGTCTTCGGGATGGCGTGTCTGCAGTGTTTATCCATGGCAGGGGGCTCGAAGAAATAAACGACCGCAACACCAGTCTCGTCGCTGGTCGTACGCTGGTATTTAGCTCGACAGAGTCGTCTTCTTTCCCACTAATCAGCATGCAATTCAAAGGCCAGGAAGACATGATGAAGGGGTTTAAAGTATTAGTTCAAGAACTTGCGCGATCCAACTCTGCGTTGGCTATTGCTCAGGGCCTGACCAATTCCGTCGATCTTGGGGCGCCCGAGATGCGCTTGGCGAGCTTCTGGCTCTCAGTCAATCTAGTAAGAGACATGGCATCAGTCAATCCATCTGTCGATGATTTCATGAATCTGGGAACGCCAAACCCGAGGGAGGAAGTCTTGGATGACTTGTACTCGCATTCTCTGTCATTGCTTAACCAGCGAACTGTGGACACCAACAGCCATTGGCATTTATATGCATTAGCGCTCGAGACGGTAGCTTTGCAGGCGAAGCGGTACAAGACTGAGTTTCGCCCTGAGTTGAGTGAAGTACTTTATCCGGTGCTGCATTATCTTGGCAGTTCCAACAGCGCACTACGCGAACACGCCCTGATTTGTCTCAATATCGTAGCAGGGGCCTCGGGATACAAGGACGCAGGGGAGCTTGTTGTCAGTAATGTCGATTACATTGTCAACGCAATTGGCCTAAAGTTGGCATATGGCGATGTGTCGCCTCAAGCACCACAAGTCCTACTCATGATGATAAGGCTTTGTGGCCCACCTCTCCTACCTTACCTAGATGACTTGGTGGATAGTATTTTCAACGCCTTGGAGAGATATCATGGCTATCCTAAGCTTGTGGAGCTGCTTTTCAACGTCTTGAAAGGCATGACGGAACAAGGTGTCAAAGCACCACAACTTGCCGTGTCAGCCGACAATAAGAAAGAGGAACATGTGCATCTGAAGAGAACGGTCGTCATGAACGATGTCATCGAAGCAATTCAAAAGTTCGAGGTAGAGACACAAGAGCGGGAAGAGGAAGAGAAGCAAGCGTCAAGGGAGGCACTCCCACGAAAGCCCTGGAAAGTCGGAAAGACTCCAGAAGATACCGACTCCAATAGCACGGACGAGGAGAACGGTCGCCCGCCTCCCCCGCACACCGAGGAGTCTTCCCCTCCCGCCCCACGTGCCTTTGCTATTCTCCTCAAAATCTCCGATTTGACACAGCACTATCTCACCACCATGTCGCCTAACCTCCGGAACTCGCTTCTGTCCCTCCTTCGTACCACTATACCTGCTATTGCAGAACACGAGAACTCACTCCTGCCCCTCATTAATACGCTCTGGCCTGTATTACTACCTCGTCTACAAGATCCGGAAGCATACGTGGTATCAAACGCGCTCGATATTGTAGCATTGATGTGTGAACACGGAAAAGATTTCATGCGAACTAGGATCGATGATGCATGGAACATTACCAGGAAGGTCTACGAACGCACTAGACAGAACGACGACTGCAATAGGAAAGGCAGCTTCCAACCGATGTCGCTAGAGATCAAGGCTATCGGGACTGGCCTGACGAGGCTCGCCGTGGACTCGCAGCCTACGGCCGACTTTTCACCAATGGAGCTGTACGTTGATACGCCTACACGGATGATCTGGAATAGTCTGACCGCCTTGCTATGCGCCATTGCGAAAAACGTAACGATGCGGGATGAGCGCTTCGAAGAAATGCTGGACATGCTAGACCCGGTGCTAGCGAGAGACGACGTACGCGGAGCGCTGGGTCACAGCAACGCCGACGCGATATGGTTGCGACTATACAAAAAGCGGCAGGGGATTGACAGAGGGAAGCATTCTATGTCATTTATATCAACAAAAGCACATGAGGTAGCAGGCAAAATACCCGTAGGCAAGCCCCACTGGCATTTCGTGCGAGCCTAAAGCGAAACGATGTCTGCACAGCCACGGATGTCTTTCGAAAAGCTTTCCATTCGGCCAGGCGCGGCAGCAGCAACAGTGCAGTTGACCTGCAGTATTGAAGGATTCCCATGTAACCATACTGTTATCGTATGTATGGAATAATTGGAAGTTCAGATACTTTAGTACTAGTGCAAGCATTTCACCCGTCTGCCCCTCCATCTAGCATCGCATGCTCCTCGTTCTTCAATTTTCAATATTGCCCAGTCACTGTACCTTTGCTACTCGAGTGTCACGCTATAGATTAGCTGTGAAGGGGACTCTTTCTCCGTTACTTATCGCTCACTGTTTGGTGCACTTTTCTATAGATCATGAAAACATAGAAGAGAACCCCAAATTGACAGCATTCTGTACAATACATAACCCAACTTTCGTCATGGTATCCGCCTCACATTTTGTCCATGTCTGATCACTCGTACATGTTCTCAAGGATGATAAAATGACTTTGCGGTCTTTTTTCCCCGTTCTTTCGCTCAACTTTCAGGACTAATATAGGCATTATACTAGCTGATGTACGCCTTTTGTCACAGCCAGATCTTTGGGTCTTCTGACTGCGCGTTCTTTACATGAAGCAACTCAGATATTCTACGTTGCACGTGTGACCTCGTATAACCACAAAGGTGCAACACGAGGGACCTTGCAGGGAGTATACCCTAGAGCAGAGGGACAGCAACGTAGTCTATCATACATAAGGTTGACGGCAGGACCGAAGTGGAATTCGTCAAATGAGTGTTCAAATTGTACAGCGCGCCAAGAATGTCACAAGATGAGACTATTCGGAACCAGCCCGGGCCCCACAGACCAAGCTCAAGACCATAGCTACCAGCAACGCCGACTGTGACCAGCAAACCCACATCACCGCACTAAATCCAAACACACTGAACCCAAACACACTGCAATACGGCATCATCTCCAGGCGCACAGCACGTACTATCGTCCACGTCCCAACAACACCACAAGGCGCGAAGATGCCACCAGCCCGTAGGCACTCCCGTCGCGCTCAAGCGCGTCGCAAACCACACGTAGGCGGCCACGACGCAGTGCACTAACAAGCTACCAGCGACCCGCGCCGTCTCCTCCAAAGACCTCCCTCCTTCGGTCGAAGGCGCCTACTACCGCAAATGCATCGACCTCCGCCGCCGCATAACCGACATTGAAGAGAACAACGACGGCACGCGCCTGCGCATCACACGCCTGAACCGCGGCATCCAGAAGATGCGCCTCGAGCGCGCGTTCCTGCTCGAGCAGCTGAACAAGCACATGGAGTACAATGTCGACGACAGCGATCGCAGCAGCAGCCCACCGCCCACCCCAACCGATAAGCCCTTGAGGAGCAAAAGGAGCCACAACAGGAAGGGCACGCCTCCTCTTGGTGGCAGCGCCGAGGGCCGACTGGGACTGGGCCCCCTGCCGCATGCCATCAACCCTATGAGCAGTGCGCAGAGTACACCAGACCCGTCGGGACGGCCCCAGAACAGCTACTTCGGTGCCATTGGCGCTGCCACGACGACCAGTCCACACACCGCTGTCAACGGCGCACCTCCTACACTTCCTCCCCTGCACGCGCTCCCGCCGCTGCACGCACAGCAGCCGCAACAGCAGCCACCCCCTCAGCGCGCCTACTTCGACCCGGCTTACGATGAGCAGCGCCCGCCCGCGACCGACGCTGCGCCCCCTCCACCGCACAACGGTGATACCGACATGACAGATGCAGCTTTCACAGCCGTCAACCGCTAAGACTGCGAAGCCGGGCAGCCCCTTTTGACGGCAAGCGAGAACAGATGACAGTAATCAGAAACACCATGGGAGGGCAGCGAGGCGTTTGGGCTTCTCAGAGTTCTAGGTAGGGGGGGTATTGTAATTCTTCTTTTGTGTATTAGTGTACTTATCCACTGCCTGGTGCTGTGATTGTGAAGCGGGGCTTGAGTCTTTCAAGTATGCTCCCATGACTTTTGGCAAGTTGTTTGATCTTTCCTTCTTGCACGAGCGGTGTTGCACTCGTGTCACAATAGCACGTACATGAGCAAAGCAAAGTACACCTAGGATTTCCACTTGTGCTATCACCTTGACTAATTATTGCACGTGCAAGATGAAGTAGTGCGAACACCAAACACAGCTTTCAGTGACTTCAAGCCGTCACGATCGCACTTGGTACATGTCCCGACTCACCCCACGTTTTGTTTTCCCGCACTCGAGCATTCACTCCCATCAAAAGTCTTCGTATGCAGACACAATGGGTTTCGCCCACCTCTTCAAGCCCGTGCTCCTCGCCTAGCATAATGCACATGGTCTGGTCGAGTATACCAATGCAGCTCTATTTCTCATTCGCATCCTTGTAGTGAACACCCTTAGCTAGCTCACACGGGTCGGGTGCATAGCCAATGGTGCAATGTTCCCAGTCCTCACTATCCACGAGTTCGCGCTTGAAGTTGAGAGCGTTGTAGATGTTTGCAAAGCGGAACTCGACGTACGAATGCTAGAGTGACCGTGTCAGTGTTATACAGACATGGGTCCGCACATGTTACTTACACCACGGGCGGTCTTTCCGCTCTTGATACGATCAACGTCGCGCTTGCTAACGCTCTTGCCCCGAGCGAGCTTCATAAGAGCCGCTTCGTTGTGCTCGTTAGTGCCGATAGCTCGCACGCAGCGTGACGCTTCGCCATCGATGCAGTTGCGGATGACATCGTTGATAGAGTTTGGTCCCTCAGCCTTCTCCACGAAGACAACTGCTTTCTTCATCTCGCCCACTATCTCGATTCCGTTTGCAGTGTCCTTGTGATACTTGTCGCATGCCTCGGGTGTAAGAAACTTGACAAGAGCGTTCGAGGAGCCCGGCTCTGGCATGGAAATGGACTCAAGCTTGCCACCCCATACAAGAGCCTGCAACTGGTTGATACTGGTAATCCCCCCAACACCCTTCAAGATGCACGTACGATGTGCAGCGGCTATGTCTTGTCAGTCTAAATTTCTGTCTGCACGGAAAAGGACTTACGATTCTCGCGCTTCTCCTGGGTCGGCCATCCCTGCATGCTATCCACTGGGTCCTTGGACATGGGCTTGCTGTTCTCAGAGCCCATCGCAACAGAACGTGCTGGCGTCAAAGGCGCTTCCACCGACGTGGTGGTAGGTTGCTCTGGCTTGGGCAGAACATCACGCATGGCGGCGACGATACCAGATACTTCAGTCAGTGTCTCCAAGGAGACGTACCCCTCGTCCACGAGCTTGGCACACAGCCGGAGAAAATCTCCATCCATATCCCCAAGCGTTTGTTTGATTGAGTCGGCTGTACGTGACTCCGGGCGCTTCTTCAATATCTTATTGAGATAGTTGGCGACTGCGAATGCTAGACGTGCCTTGAGAGCTTCGTTGCTTCCAGCATCTACCTTGGTGGTTGACGTGTATGAGTCGTGGAGCTTCCTTGACATGGCCTTGACGAGATATGCCGTGTTTCCCGTGCTGTTCGGAAGCGCCTGGATGTACTCAGTCGCCTTACGCATGTACTCACTCTCTAGCTTGTCTTGTCTCGGTTCTGCGGTCTTGCTACCGGGAGACTTCTGGATGCCTCCCTTCTCAGCCTCTGAATTATCCGTCTTGATCTTATCTGCCTTGGCCTCAGCAAGACGTGCACCAAACGAGAATGCAGTTTGGCCAGGTCTTGCTACCGTGGGACCTACGGGTGTGCGAGGCCCCAGAATGGTTTTGCTATTAAGGCGAGCGTAAAGTGCATCCATTGCGGATTCTTCGTCCATGGCATCAGTTGTAGCTCTCACGACCTCCTTGGTGGACGGAACCACTTTCGATGTAGGAGCAGTCAAAGCAAGTGCTGCGCCCTCTTTGTGAAGGGGACCGGGCTTGGACGCTCTAGAGGTACTGGCGTTCGCTGGTCTGTACGCACATTAGTGGAGTCCAAGGATTAAGTAGTAATGCGTACCCTTCAACAGCCTGGGGCATGGTCTTGACTGAGCCTGGAGCTGGCGATGATGTCACTGACGGGGCGGGCGGTGCGAATCGCGACGGGGTCGTAGGAATTGGTCCCGCAGCCCCGACGATCTTGACGGCGTTCTTCTTGAGCTTCAACTTGCCAGCATAAGCTGCAGGTTGAACAGCGAGATTGCTGCGTGCATCACCAGATGCCCAACCGGACGAGGCAGCCGGCGGTGCGCTCATGTACCTCGAGCGATCCATGGTTATGGCTGAAGACGACAGTGGAGGTGGACTGGTGTGTCGTACGACTTCCTCTCGCGTGGGCGATACAGGTGGCGATATAAGGGAGAGCGCAGCCGGAGCAGACTTTCTTACAAGATCACTGCCCTCGTGCGCAGTGATTTTGATGTTGACGGTGTTGCTCGGAGTGGATGTCGCTGGGGAAAGGTTAGTGAAGCAGGGCGCGTGAGCAGGTGAGAGAGTCTGCACGTACCACCAATCCGCTTGTTCACCGTTATATTCGCGATACCCTCGATGCAGGCGTCGAGGCAGGATTGGTAGAGTTTGTCCTCGCTGTTACGTATACGAGGACGTGGATGGGGCTCGCCAGGCATGAGACAAGACGTGCTGCGTTGGCGTGGGCAACCGTTGGGGGGACGTCGGGTTACAGAGCAAGAGACAAAAACAGTCTGAGCGCCCACACGCGGTTGCCGTTCCTGGCGGTAGCCTACAGCCAATGAGACGGCAGTGATGAAGACGAAGCTGAATGCTGTGCAAGTGAGAATACTTGCACTCCACCTCGATATATTGCCAATATAGCGACGCAAGCTGGCCATACGGCTATTACTGTCGAGCAGGGAGCTCCTACCAGCAGTGCGGCATTAAAGCATGATTGTGTAGTCGCTTTGAGCCGAGGAGACAAGCGGCAGATGGTGAAGAAAATGCAGATAGTCCGTCAATATGACACAAGCTCATTTGCGTATGCTCAGACACGTCTCTTGGCTTGCAAATGAACACGAAAGAGCTTCACAGGTTGCATATATCCAGACGGAAAGTGACTCGGATGTGAAGTGAAGCGTAGCATTATGAGATTCATTTTACTTAGCTGGCACGACCAAACTGTCCGGAAGCTGCACAGTTGACGCTTACATGAAGGGTATCCAGACACGAGTTCTTGCCCTGTACACCTTGTACTCTTCGCCGAAGAACTCGATTAGATGTTTTTCTTCGTCTAGGATGGGTGAGCAGCTTGACTGGGGCCATGGGTGTGTAAGGCTTACGTGAAATGCGTGTCATGAAAAAATACCACAGCACGCCTGTGTATCCCAAGAAGCAGACAGCGTTACCCAGCATGACCTGTGTGCCGATGCCCCACCAGAAGAAACCGAAGTACGAGGGGTGACGGAAGTAGCGGTACAGTCCATGGGTCACCAATTCGTGCCCATCGCTCTTACGCGACTGCACTTGGTGGTTAAAGTTGGTACCCGCCTGCATCATCGCTGTGCTGCGCACAGCTTGTCCCACCACGACCATGCTTATGCCCAGCGCGATGACCCACGGCGGGTGGATTGTCGATTGGTAATCGGGAAAGAAAGACGAAGTCACCAGAGTCTCGATGAAGGCCATGGTATGGGCTTGTCGGTATTGGTCGCCGTTGGTGAGGAGGAACGAGGAGATGTACGCGACCGGGGTGTTGTACGCGGCCGTCGTGTAAAACTCGAGGAAGTGGAACATGGACAGCGCGCTGAGAAACATGAAAGGCCGCCATAGATGATTGCCGTTGTATGCTAGCAGAGCAGTACCGACCACGCCGAGAGCCATGGCGCATCCCAAGCAGAAAGCACGCACAGCGATGCCACAAAGCGAGCGCTTGCCGTGGGGAAAGAACTCGGGCGCGATGGCATGCTGGCTCCTAGCCGCCACAGTTGAGGTCTCAAGCTCGCGTGATGCATTTCCGTTGGGCGGGAGAATATCGACACCGGGGGATAGCGAGCCGTTCGGAGCCATGATGATGGCAGGCAGGTAGAGGTCAAGTACGGGGAGCTCGGGGGGCGAGGACGGGATGGACGATGGAGTTCAAGACATGGTTCTACCAAGGCGCAGAAGAAGGGGCCCTGCTGCACAACCCCGATCGCATGGCTTGCGGAGGCCGAACAATAGCAAGGCGTGAGCGACTATCCAGGACCGGCTGGCCTCGGGAACAGCCGAGGGCCTTGGCGCCCCGCGCATAGCTCCCGCGACCTGTACTCCTTCACAACCGGCACACCGGCCTCGGTAGCATGCGCCGGGCAGCCAGCTTCCTGCATGCCAGCCATGGACATCTCGCAGAACAAGCAGCGTATGCTCTGCGGCGAGCTCTACCGTGCCATGACGCCTGAGCTGACAGCAGAGCGCGCACGATGCAGGCAAGCTTGCAGACGCTTCAACGATGCCGGTGATGTACCGCGTCGCAGGCTAGTCCAACTGTTTCGAGAGTATGTGTGGCTGCTCGATTGCTTGTCGAGAGACGTCCTTATACTTTGCCTAGCATCATCCAAGACGAAACCCCTCTTCCACCACCAGCACCTACAACAGAAGAAGACGCCAAGCTGTTCGAGGCTGAACCATGGATTAACCCACCGGTTACTATGGACTATGGATATAATGTGCGTTTGGGCAAACATGTCTTCGTCAACTTCCACGCCGTCTTCCTCGACACCTGTCTTACTACTATTGGCGCACGCACACTCGTCGGTCCGAACGTCAACTTCTACTCAGCTACTCATCCTCTCGACCCAGCCATCCGGAACGGCCTTAGCGGGCCTGAGTTGGGCAAGGAGATCCACGTTGGCGAAGACTGCTGGATCGGTGGCAATGTTTGCATACTGCCTGGTGTTGTGATTGGTAGAGGCAGCGTCGTAGGCGCAGGAAGCGTCGTTACGAAGAGCGTCCCAGAGTTTACAGTCGTCGCTGGCAATCCCGCTCGCATTATCCGCAAGATCGAGACCGAAATGGACTCTGAAAGCAATAGTCGCCATGCTGGCAGGCAGAACGACCTGCAGCACTGACTTGTATATCAGTCACCCTCGCAATGAGCTTCCCCTCGTTACGAGCGGCAGTTTCACAACTCTCAAATCGAGCATCACGAGTTCTCTCGGACTCCGAACTGCATTTGGAATGGCAATGTAAGAAGAGAAGGCTACAGTCGCATAAACCTCCCTACAAATCTCTGCTGCTCCTGCAACTGATACATCAGACCTTGTTACGCCGTGCTTTAGTGGACTCTAGCGCTTCTTGCCGCTTCCAGCTTCCCTCAGCATTTTCCAAACGGGGCGATGAATGATTGCACGCCTCTGAAGATCCTCTAAGATCTTAGATATTTGCAATACGGATACGATTATGAACAGATTCGACGCGAAACTTGTTTATCTTGACAGATTGTTTGCAACAAGCAATATCGTAAATCTTTTTGCTTACACATCTCTACAGTCTAATGAAGCATCATTGTGCGTACTCAAGGATCAAATCCACAGATACACAGCGCGATCAAGTCGTATGAGCACGCAACAGGAATTGGGCGACCTGAAGCCTGCCTGTGTCGATCTGGAACAATTGTGGGGCGTTTGGACTAAGGTTCAACACAAGATCTGATGATCGCCTGCAAGCTTCGGGCGCCAAGACCGACGAAACCTGTTCCCAGACGCTGTCAAAACAATGACATCGGCTTGCAAAACATCATTAACTAATCCAACTTACATGCACGACATGGCGTACCTTGCGAAACGTCCTGTTTGAGTTTAGGGCTGAACTTCGGCATCGCTCGCTTTGAGGGTCTCGGCAATTTGGAAGGCCATTTGGAAGCGCCTGATTCAAAATATGGCATACTTCGAAACTACGCCATTGAGCTAAGCGTGTGCTACCTGACTTGACGCCAAGGGCTGCGAGCCCTAGGGCTTGATCCCCAGACTGTTACGATGCATAGGCCTGCCCACCATCATGCCTTGACGGCAAGGCTTTCCGAAGTTGTAACAGAGGCGATACAAATACCACAGCTCCCATCATCCTGATAGTCTTCATCGGACTGGTTCCTCACTCACTACAGACTAATATTTTCCACTCTACAACCTCAGCATTCCATTCGCTCTTTGATATCTCTACTCATAATCTTAGTCCACTCGACAGATCCGTTCTCACAGACAAAATGAAGTACATTTTCATTGCCTCGCTCCTTAGCTCTGCAGCTTACGCTGCCCCATTCGCCCAGGTGCAGGGCGGCAACGGTGGTAACGGCAATACTGCTGCCGCCACGACTGGTCAACAGACTACGAACCAGGGCGGCAATCAGCAACAACAGCAACAAGGAGCGCAGACCGGAAACCAGCAACAGCAAGGCACCACCAATGCCCCGACTGGACTTGGCGCTGGTATACAAAATGGACAAACTCCCACTGCGAACGACCTCGCTACTGCGGTCTCTAATTGGATGGCCGATACCTCGATGGTTTCTAACTTCCTCAACACTGGAGCTAGCATCCAGAACAACGTTCAGTTCAAGCAGGCTGCCACCGTAGCCTTCAACGCCGAGGTCGATGAGCTCAACCACAAGGCCATCATTGACGCTGCTAACGGCGCGGACCCCAATGTCATTGCTGCCAACAGCACCCTCGCCACTGGCGGTTCTTTCCAGGATGTCGTCGACAAGCTTCAGCAGATGTCTGTTCAGGGAATGGCTGCCGCTGGTAACATCGACTTGATCAACCAGAACCGCTGCGTTAACGTCCTCCCCAACATTGATGCCTACATGGCCTCTACTGGATCTACCTCGCAGGCAGTTCGTCCCACTGTCTGCGACCAGACTGGCGTTGCTGGTGGTGTCCAGGGGACTGGCCCCACTCAGCCTGGTGCGCCAGCAGGTAGCCCCGCCGCTGCATTTGCCGCTGGTCAGGCTCTTGCTCAAGGAACTGGCAGTGGCCAAGTCCAGAATACCGGAACAGCTGGTGGTGCTGCCGCCGGCAATACTGGCACTGCTACGAACAACGGACAAGCGCCTCAGCAGGGCGCCGGCATCTCCCCTACCAACGGACAAGCACCCCAGGGAACTACAGGTGTGCAGGCTCCCCAGCAGGGGGTTCAAGGTGCCGCCGGACAGCAGGTTCCACAACAAGGTCAACAAGCTGGACAACAAACGGGACAGCAGCAGGGACAGCAGAATGGACAACAGGCGACACCAAATGGTGGTAACCAGAACAATGGCAACCAACAGCAGGGAACCAAGGGTGCGGCTGCAGGACAGCAGTCTCAAGGCCAGACGCAAAACGGCGGTTCCCAGCAACAGGCAGGCAACGGTGCGGCTGCAGGCCAAGCATCTCAGGGTCAGACCCAGGCCGGAGGTAACCAGCCCCAACAGGCAGGTAATGGTGCTGGACAACAGTCTCAGGGCGGCAACGGTGGCAAGAACAACAACAACAACTGAGCACTAGGCTTGGTACTTGATTGAGAAGATGATGTGAAGGATTAGCAAGGTGACGGCTATGTGCTGGCGACTAGCCAATCGGTCTTTTCTGTATATAAGAATAATGGTTGAAAGGGGGGATGACTGTGGGAGCCTGTATGTAAGAATGTATGAGGAAGGAAGGGATGATATGATATAGTTGTAGATATGCGATTTATGAGCCTGCCGCCCAGTCTTCCTGTTTTGGACTTGCATGCGATGGCACTGACTTGAAGATCAAGGTTTCGAAACCTCAGGCGTGAACGCGTGGATACCTGACGGTCGCGGAAAGAAACCAGTGACGTGAACCGTGTCTTGGGTACGCCTGGGCCAGGGGCAAGTTGCGGTGGCTGCAGCACAGGTGAAACGATGTACCAAACATCAGGTGCTACAGGACCGGATAGCTTGATATATGCCAAAATGGGAGGGTGCGAGACGGACGAGGCGTCAGGCGCCTGTGCTGGTCACGACATGTCGGATGTTTGATGCCGTCTCTCACCGACTCCGGGGTTCTGAGGCGCTGACACGTGCGCAAGTCGCGTGACGTAGCGACATGAGAAGTGTGCGCTCGTTGCGGCAAGCAACATAGAGGCTGCAGCGGGCCGATGAAAGCGTGTGCTGGCATGCATATGCTACGGCGCCTTGTACCGTCGAGGCTCGCCAAGTGTGCAGTCTAGCTGAGAGTCAACCGCAGGCGCCTGACGAGCAGTTTGCGACGAACCATGGCCGAGGGCGAGGGCGCTGGCGGAGTCCAGGGCGACCTGGAAAAGGAACTGACGTGCTCGGTAAGTCGAGGAGCACGACGACGAGGCGGCTGCTAACTCGGCCATGGCCAGATCTGTACCGACGTGCTCTACCAGCCGCTCACACTGCTCGACTGCCTGCACACCTTCTGCGGCGCCTGTCTGAAGGAGTGGTTCGCCTTCCAAGCCTCGACCGCCACGTCGATACACCCGTACACCTGCCCCTCGTGCCGGGCCTCTGTGCGCACCACACAGCCCAATGCCACCGTCACCACGCTGCTCGACATCTTCCTCAAGGCGAACCCCCAGAGCGGCAAAAGCGCCCAAGAGAAGCAGGCGGACCGCGACAGATACCGGCCAGGCGACAATGTGCTACCCAAGCTCAGGCGCCGGGATGAGCGCGATGACACCCATCAGCGCATGCTCGAGGCAGCTCAGCAGCCGAGTCTGAGGGACGCGGGCATCGCAAGCAGCAGGAGGGCCAGCCGGGAGCCTCCAAGAGAGCGCACAACAAGGGAGCGAAGCCGCAACGGGAGCCGCGAATCCCGCAGGGCGCGCGATCAAAGGCGGTCTGCCAGCCAAAATCCGCCCGGCGCATCCCCGTCCAGGGCCGTCATACCGCCCCGCGCTATCGAGCACCAGTCCAGCCTGCGCTCTCTGCTGAGCGCCTCCGACCTCGACGCAGAAGACGTCGACGAAGATCTCGTGCGCCAGGTGCTGGAGGAGCTGGTGTCCGAGGGCGTCGACCTGAACCAGATTGGCACTGCGCAGGAAGAGGAGATCACCGAGAGGATAGCCGAGGCTGTGCGACGGCGGCAGGCAGAACGACATGCTGAAAGACAGCGCGAGAGGAGGGAGAGAAGGGAGCGTCTGGCAAGAGAGGGCTTGACGAGCTCCTCGTCTGCGTCGCTGCTGCCACAAGCCATGCGCAGCCCGCTTACGCGCGACGAGGAAGCTGCGCGCAGGAGAAGGCATGGACGTTCCGAGAGTGGCGCATCGACGCCCCAGACGGCAGTAGGACCCCCCATATCCAGACCTGCTCTCATCGACGCCGCAAATCGAGGCGGGCGGGCACCGCGCCAGCGATCGTCAAGCCAGGGCAGCTCTCGATCCGCCACGAGGGTAGAGCGCCCTGCACCTGGCTCGGCTCCTGCAAATCCGGCGACCGGCGACCGTCATTCATCATCGGAACTCGCTCGTCCAAGGCCACGTCGACAGTCCGAAAATCAGCAGAGAAATAGGCTCGACGTTCGAGAGCAGTTCCGCATCAGTCTCCACGCCAGCAACAACAATAACAACAATGAGACAGTGTCAAGTCCTAGCTCGCCCCAGAGCCTCGGCTTCGATCTGCCCAACAGCGGCAGTCCAACGACTTCTCTAGCTACAGTTGGCACTCCAGCTGTGCCCTTGTCTTCCTCTACTCCTGCCGTCACGCCTTTCCAGCCTCCTTCGGCTCGCCGTACTACCGACCCTACCACAGCCGAACTGCCACGCTCTTCTCACAGTACTACTCCCCCCTCGCTATCGCCTCCTGCTTTCCCTCGCTCCACCCCCGATCCGACCGTGAGCGAGACTCGATCGAGACAAGCTTCAAGCTCATCACTAGGTACTCCTGCCCTATATACAGAGCCCCATGTGGCATGCCAACGCTGTGGTAAAAACGACATACAGTACGAGCTTCACTACAATTGTCGACGCTGCGATGGTGGCGAGTACAACATGTGTCTTCGCTGCTATCGTCTTGGCAGAGGATGCAAGCATTGGTACGGCTTTGGTTGGACTGCTTGGCCCCGGTATGAGCGCGAAGCACCAGAGGGTGGTTATCCGCCCTATCACGAGCATCCCCATATCCTGGTCGGGCACCGATATCGCAGACCCATGACGCCCTTGACGGAATCCACGACACCACCACATGTGCTCATGAGCGAGGATGACCCCAAGCAGAGGGTAGAAATTGGCGTCTTCTGCGATATGTGCAAGGCATACGCCAACGCCTGCTACTGGAAATGTGACTATTGCAACGACGGCGACTGGGGCTATTGTAATGATTGCGTTAACCAGGGGCATCACTGTACGCATCCTCTTGTTCCCGTTGCCCGCAAGACAAGAGACTCGCAGTCTGTTACTGACACAGTTCCCTCCGCGCCCTCTACGCCACGTCAGGATGGACATCTTGCTCCCCCAGACCTCGACGCAACACCCACAACCCCTCCGTTGACACCGAAATCCGCGTCTCTTATGCGAGGGCCAGGGTACTTTACCATTGCGAATTTCATCTTCCGCCCTCTCACCTTTACAACCTTGTGTAACATATGCAGTTACCCTATTCCACCATCAAACACACGCTATCACTGCCTCAAGTGTAACACTGGCGACTACGACATTTGCATGAGCTGCTACCACAAACTCGTCATCAGCGGTCGCATCACCAAAGAAGACGGCGTAAACGGATGGCGCAAGTGCCTCCGCAGCCATCGCATGTACATTGTAGGATTCGAAGACCGTGACGGCGCACAACGGCGCATGGTTGTCCGCGATCTAGTAGGCGGCTACGCACTGAAAGAAGAAGACGAAATGGCCAGAGTACAGCGGTACCCACCAGATGGCGGTATAGGCTTGAGATTACTGGCTAGATGGGGCTATCTGCCGGATGAAGGAGTAGAAGATGAATTATCCTTTCCTAGAGGAGCAGAGATAAGGGAAGCAGCTGATATCAATGGAGACTGGTATTGGGGTGTTTACTGTGGTGTTGGAAAACTGTTTCCTGCAAACCATGTCACATCTGTCTAAGTTTTATGCATAGATAGTCAGCTGCCGATGCTACGCAGACTCACTGCGCAAACTTCCTCTTCAGCCAATCCTCCAACCGCTTCACCACCTCCGCAGGCTTCTCATACGTCGCCCAATGCGCCGCATCAATCATATCCGCTTGTTCCAATTGCGGCAACAAGCCCTTTTTAATACTCTCATACATGGCTTCGGGTCTGCACACCACATCCTCTCTGCATCCGATGTACAGCGTGGGTACATTGACAATCTCTCTCCCTTCAGGCAACTTAACATCGACTTGATGCTGCAGATTGCCTGTCATGGCTTTGTACCAGCACACGGGCGCTTCGAACCCATCGCGCGCCATACGATCAAGGAACGCCTTCTTGAAAGCTGGGTCTTGCGCATAGGGTCGGAGAGAGAAGGTTGGTTCCTTTTGCCCGGAGAGTGTTTCACGCATGGTGTCGGGTGTGCAGAAGAACTCTTTCAATCCATCTTTGTCGTGCATCATGTTAAACATGGCCTCTATATCGCGGGATAGAAGTGCTGGTCCGTCAGGCGCGGTGAAGAGGTACCAGTACGATAGCGATGGGTAGCCAAAGATCTTGTTCATGAGGGCGTTTGCGGCGTCGAGATCGAAGGGTTTGCGACTTGGTGCCGTGTAGGCGACGTTCAGGTTGACCAAGCCGACAACGCGTTCGGGGTGGTAGTTGTACAGGCGGCTTGCGGCTGCGGAGCCCCAGTCGTGGCCGATTGAGATGCATTTTGGCGCTTGTTCAGCATTGAGGATTTCCACCATGTCGTTGGTCATATGGTCCCAGGTGTAGGCGGATGGGTCTGTGGGCTTGTCCGTTCCGTCGTAGCCCAGCATGTCGGGAATGATAACGGGGTGGTTTAGTGGTCGGAGAGAGCTAGCGACGTCTGCCCACATGGCGGCATGGTCGGGGAAGCCGTGTTGGAAGAGGAGGGTTGGGAGAGACGTGTTGCCAGAGCATGTGTAGTAGGTGTATGTGATGCCTCGGGAGGTTTTCAGGGTCTTCTTGGTGAAAGCGTCCATGGTTGATCTCAATGCAACGTACTTGAAATGGCTTGTTGTAATTGGTAAAGAAAGGGCAAGAGTCTTCTATGTATACCAGTGCCAAGTCTCGTTACATTTTGTCCCTCACAAATTGAGTCCATGTCGGCCGAATGTTGGTCTTTGCTAGATAGGTACTACTACTCAAGCGGAGTTTCCGTCATAGATACGTCCGTAGCGGCGTTGTCGGGTCTATAAATTTAGTGGGGTGCTCCGTAGAGTTGCATGAACTTGTCTAGGTTGAGGCAGTTGGCCGGACCGTGATGTGCAAGGACACGACCGCTAGGGAGGAAAGCGGCGGTCCCGGATCGTGCATGATATGGCCGGGCCTAAGATGGAGCTTGGATGATCGTTGTTTACGCCTCTCATTGCCGCGCGGTGGTTTGGGTGATTGCTGCTTGTGGCGGCTCTCCGATGCGCTGTCGGTCCGGTCTGCGCTCGGTATGGGTCGAATCTGAACGTGGAGGAAACCGCTGAGTTACGACAAGGGCTGCGCGAATACTGCCGGTTGAGCATTCCGACACGACAAAGCCGAGGGTTCTGGTTTGAATATTTGACTTTACGTCGCGGTGCGCTTAATCGCGCGCATAGCCTCAGACCGAGGAGATGCCTGCATAGTATCATAGCGGAGCATGGCTATTTGAGTCGTCGAGGGACATTTTGACGAGGTTCTGGCTCGAACGGGTCCATAAAATGTCCTTCGGATGTCCTTCGGGTGGCAAATACTGTGTCGAGGTGCGGAGCGAAGTACAAGCGGCAAACACGAGAGATATCAGCCAATAGCGTCAGAGCGCTGCACGCTCGCGGCGTACAGCACCTCAACGTCGACGAGCATTGCAACTCTACCACAACCTCATCATGGCTGGCACACGAAGATCTACGCGTCAAACGGCAGCGGCAGCACCGGAATACAACCAAGACGACAGTTCATCCGTCGAAGAGACACAGCTCAAGCGCAATGCCAGGCAGGCGATGCGTCGCAAGCGTGACCGCGAAGACGACGCCGACCAAGATACAACAGACAGCAGCGCTCCTCCGCCCAAAAAAGCTGCTACAACCAAGCCTAAACCTCCTAAGACGAACTCTCTACCCGCGCCTGTTTCATCCACCAACCGCGACGCGACCGGCGCCCAAGAAGTCTACTGGCTGCTCAAAGCCGAGCCCCTCGCGCGCTACGAGAACGGCGTAAACGTCGCCTTCTCCATCAGCGACCTGCGCGCCTGCACAGAACCCGAGCCCTGGAGCGGCGTCCGCAACCCCCAGGCACGCAACAATATGCAGGCCATGCGCAAAGGCGACCTGGGCTTCTTCTACCACTCCAACGCCAAGCCTTCGGGTATCGTAGGTATACTGCGTGTTGTTGAGGAAGCAAAGGTCGATGAGACGGCCTTTGACCCCAAGGATCCCTACTATGACAAGAAGAGCGAGAGGGAGAAGCCCAAATGGTTTTGTGTAGACGTCGAGTTTGTGAGCGAGTTTGAGCATGTGATAGATTTAGCGAAGATTAAAGAGTTTGCTAAAGAGGGGCCGTTGAAGGATATGCAGCTTGTCACAAATTCGAGACTGAGTGTGAGTAGGGTAAGGAAGGAGGAGTGGGAGTTTATTTTAGGGTTGGCCACGGACAGCAAGGAAGTTTAGGCAGAGAAGAGAGATGCGCCACATGCAGTCGTAGAAGTTTGATTACGTCGTGAATCGATCTGAGATACCCCTTGTAAGATTCCCGTTTCATATTATATCGTCTTCAACGTCTTGATGGATTTCACACCCTGTACTGCTCATATTGAGACCTTGCGTCAGACTGAGCTACTCCTCAATACTGAAGCGCTTGGATGATCTTCGGACTGTTAAAGAAAGCGCATCGCTCCTGTAATCTCTGTTTTGCCATCTCTCTTGTCGCGTTTGCCATGCCCAGCGCACTGTTGCTCGGATGCGCGCCACCAATCGTCCTGACATACGGACCGCCTAAAATGTCAATGTACGGAGTCAGTGCATGCCTCACACGCAGTTCGCAAATGGGAGATTTTACCTGGCCGGCTAAATGCCTCGTCCCAGTTCAACAATGTGGTGGATTGTGATCCGCTCTCTGCCGGGGCTCCTTGACTCACAAAGGTGCTCCACGACCGGCTTGCTCGCATAGCAATTTCGTAGTCGTACTCGGTCGGATCAAACGGGTAGTCCGTCTTGTTGTACACTTGCATGCTGTCGAAGACATACGCAAACTCAGACGTGTGTACCACGCCAAAGCCAACCACATCTTCGGTGTACTCGAGGATGGGATCAAGTATTGTCTGGTTGAAGTTATAGAAGTAGACTGGCGCTTTGTACACTTTGTCAATTGCAACACCCAGATGTAGCGATGGGCACACCATGAGGATATCGCGGAAGATGCGTGCAGAGCGATAGAACTCTGCTGTTAGGTTCACACTGGTTCCGAATTCTTCTACCGGGTACAAGTCCAGTAACTGAGTGAGAGATTTCTCCGACATAGTCGGTAGGTAGTCGCGAACAAAGTCGTACGTATCTTGTGCGGTTGCGATGGAGGTGTTGGTGTACACGTTCAGGTCGCCTTCCATCCAGCCGGACATAAAGGTAGCGTTACCGAAGCGTCCTTCTGCGATGAGCTGACTTGGTGCCGCAGGAAGGAAATCGCCGTCCACCTGTGGCAACCAGATGTCCCCAATATTATGCGCGATATCGCTGAGATACGTCGCGTTCGAGGCTTCAAAGAGTGTTTCAGTATCTAGTCCCCGTAGACACTCAATCGTCCCTGGAGCGTCCACATCAGTAGTGTTGCACCCCACGTAATTGACCAGCGCGATCATCGCATCCTTGGCGAAAGTCCCTGTGATACCAGGCTCAAGGGACTGAGACTGGGCGATACCTCGCTCGAAAGGAAGTGGCTTCTCTCCGCCGTAAGCCATAATCTGCATTCCGATTGCGAGGCCGCCGGAAGACTGGCCGGCAATCGTAATCCTCTCCGGATCCCCGCCAAAAGCAGCAATGTTGGTGCGGACCCACTCGATAGCAGCGCGCTGATCACGTAGACCAGCGTTCATGCTTCCTTCTTCTTTCAACCAGTCTGAACTGGCAAACCCAAAGAACCCGAGACGGTAATTCATGGCCACATGGATGATTGGGTCCCCATTTTCTACCGACTGCTTGATCATTCCGTCAGGCGCAGTCGTCGGCTCCGTGTTGCTTGCCCACCAGAAAGATCCTCCATGTATCCATACCAGAACTGGCAGTGGTCCCTTTCCTTCTCTGTCAGTCGCTTTTGGCCGCGCTACGTTCAAGTTCAGGCAGTCCTCGGATGTTTCAGTTATATTGCCCAATCCCAGAGGTGGATAGAGCACACCCAATGGTTGTGGACATGCGGGACCAGGCTTGGTAGCATCGATGGTAGTACCTGGAGAGTATTCGTAGGGAATCGGTGGTTTGAATCTGTTTTCGCCGCTGGTATCATGAGCATAGGGAATGCCCAAGAAGATTTCGATGTCGTTGCGTCCGATGCCTAGGATGTTGATAGGATCTTTTAAGTCGCCGAACTGGACACCTGCCGTCATGGTGACAGCGGCGACGAAGCAGGACAGCGTAGGAAGGTGCATCTTGATCACCAACCACTGTAAATCCCGTGTTGGCTTATACGATGCGGCGAATGTGAGTCGGAAAGCTCCCGTAATAGGTAGTTGGCAAAGTTGTTGTGTTGCACAGAAACACTGCAGTAGCTGTAAGCACATAGATAACATCCTCCATGCTAGCCCCATGTGGCAGGTGCACGGTTGTGACGTGATAGACGGGAGCAGGTGCTAGCGCGACATTAGACGGCAGTAGCGCAGAGCTCATCTACATCATTGATGCGAATCATCATTGTCCAATATCCAGGTTGTTCGAATACTACTTCAAATAAGAAAGGTAGCGTGAGGCCGGCACAAGCTATCCTGCGCCG